ATGTCAGTTTAGAGGTATGAAAAGGTACTTACAAGGGTATTGGTTATTTTTAGCAAGTAACAAAGCTTGATGCACCATGAATATGACACAAGAGAATAGTCCTACACTGCTCAGGAGATAACTTAAAAACCTGATTGATTAACACAAACCTAAAGCAGGTATAGTCATATCCTGACCACATAAGATAGAATAATTGTTAAAATGTAAGTCTTTGGTTGTTTTGTATAGAGAATCTCTGACTGACTCTTAAACTGTCCACACATAGTCAGATTTTGTTTGAGATTTGATCAGGGCCATGTGTCCAGTATATTCTTTTCTCCCCTACGCCAGCTACCTTGCGCCACCCCTTCCTACCTCCCCAACAACTGTTTTGGATTCTTCTTTCCCTACACACACACACACACACACACACAGGACACATGCCCTGTTAAACATACGCATGAAGAAATAAACATGCACACGGGGGATTAAATAATTCTTAACTGTACTGAAAAATTGAACTGCCCAAAATAATGGGACAAATAAACACAAATCATGCAGCAAACGGGGGAACATTAAGGAGTTACGCCAGTACAATATAATATATTTTATAATATACCAATCCCCAGGGTTTCAACAAACTGTTACAAAAATGGATTGTCCCCTAATTATAGAAATCCCTTACTTGGAGCTGGTTCAGTAAACCGGTAGAAAATGTATAATTAATCAAAGTGAATATTTAATCGTAGAAAAACAAACTAGAACAATACATCCACAACAAAACATTTAAAATCAATTAAAAAACTTCCCTTGGATAAACTGTTGTTAAAGGAACAAAGATGATCTGCAGGCCAGCTAATGTGGCATGAAATAGTTAGAGCAGATACATACAGTGTATTTCATATGGGGATACAATGTATCCGAAGTTACTCACAACTCGTGTTGCTCAGGGAGCTCGGGGAGAGACAGTCCTGCTTGAATCCCACAGCACTGAATGATTTTTCGCTTCAGTAAGCGTGTTCGGTAGTGGTGGTTGGGATCCAGAGATAGGGATTTGTTGATAGGGCTAAAAAATATATATGTAAGCGCCCTTCCATCTCCACCTGCTTGGGACTCTCACTAGCTTAAATTTCAAATTTGAGAGGTATCCCGAAAGCACTTCGATGTATATGTGCGGCCGCACAATGAACAGCAGGAAAGGTGAATGCAAGAGCCTCCACCGTGAGAAGTTCCAGGTGCAATTTAGGATCCACAGGCTGTGTGAAGACCACAAACAGTCGTCCGTTCGATATTCCTCAATCTCTGCTGGATAGGTGTAGGTCCCGATGCAGCTTGACTCAGACCATATCCGAGCCGGCTGCGCTCCGTCTCCGCACTTCGAGAACCGGCTAAGAATATGCTTCTACCGAGACTTATATACGGGGTGAGCTTTTGTGAGTGTCCAGGGAAGTTGCTTGCACACGTTACCCTGACGCGTTTCCTCCCCACAAAGGGGCTTCCTCAGAGGGGCGTGTGTCTTGTATTTTGCATGGATGTGTTAAATAGCTCGTTAATGAGGCTAATAGACTGCCAGATTTCACACAGTCAACGAGCCATGTCGTTTTTCAAAAGGTGTACTTATGGTATTACATATACTTTAATATAATGTAATGGCACCTGTGGAGCCTTAAATGACATTCCTAAGTCCCTTTACCCATACATAATCACAAGTGTACATATATTTTGACTAATGTATAGTAATAAAGGAATAAACCTTAGACATCATGTGTGTCCATATGGACTGGAAGGAGACTCCTGATGTTTAAAAAGGATGAAGTTTAGACGGGCCACTCATAGGGGTTGATTTACTAACCTTATAAACACACCACGAACGTGTATACACCTCTGCAGTGTGTTCCCTCCCAGCATGGGTGGAATCTAAACACCTTTGTAATGTGTACACACCCAGCAGGTGTGTTGTGCAAAGCCCTGAATGAATTCCAAGGTGATGTTGGGTAAATTAGCTCTATGTTGTGTTGCTTGTGTTGATGAATGCAAGGAATGTAAATGCATGAGCTAACCATTTTTGTCTAAACTGTGAAGCAGCATTATATATGCATCATGTGCATGATTTTTCCATATATGGCATTAGTGGAAATATGCTTTTAGAGACTTTTTGGTTGATAAATACGTTTTTCTGTGTGAAAATCACACACACCTGGTGTGTGTGTGTGTGTTTAGGTTAGTAAATCACCCCCATAAGGTCACACTAGGGGGTAATAGATGATTTCTACTATTATAGCTTAAATCAACGCATGGGTTTCAGAATCACATAGAGCTATATAGGTACGGAACAGGTGAGTTATAGTAAACAACCCATGTGGGGATTCACCCCCTATTGAATACCCATAATGTTGAACAGCCAGTCTAAACTCAACCAAGGTAACACATAGGCCATAAGGAGTCCCCTACAAACTTCAGAAATATATATATGGACAGTCAGATAATCCGATGAATTTACAAATAATAAAGTGTGACAAAATATACCACTCTATCAGAGGCAACAGGTTTTTGGCTAAGGAATGAAAAATATAAAATGTATAATCTAAATACATAAGCTTCAATTACTGAAGCAAGAAGCTCCATATGAAATACACTGTATGTAGCTGCTCTAACTATTTCATGCCACATTACCTGGCCTGCAGATCATCTTTGTTCCTTTAACAACAGTTTATCCAAGGGAAGTTTTTTAATTGATTTTAAATGTTTTGTTGTGGATGTATTGTTCTAGTTTGTTTTTCTACGATTAAATATTCACTTTGATTAATTATACATTTTCTACCTGTTTACTGAACCAGCTCCAAGTAAGGGATTTCTATAATTAGGGGACAATCCATTTTTGTAACAAATAAACACAAACTTTTTTGGAGAGACACAATCAGAACCTTGTGACAAAATTAGCAACATGTCAGCAGAGACACAATCAGAACTGTAGTGACACAACGAGAAGCACATTTTGAATTACCACATTTGGCTTGGCTTTTGATTAAATTGGTATGCAAGATTAAGAGGAGGGTGGAGGTTTGCCTCACAAGCTCTGTAAGCCTATAAGTTGCAGTACCCAATATAAATTGAAAGTAGCATGGGCAGTTATGTACCTCCCCTAGCAGCCATGGCACCCTAGGCCATGGCCTGTGTGCCTAGTGAGAAATCTGGCCCTAATGGGAACAAAAAGGCACAGCCAGCATTTACAACATTGCCAAAAGCTCTAACCATTCTCTACTCTACTAAAAAATGTGTTTATGATTTTGTCTGCATCCCCATCAGACAGATACCCTATTATCTCCTGTCCTGATAGAAAATGAGAGGGGATCTCCCCAACAGAAATACAGATGGCAAGAGAAACCTGACAGAGTCTTCAACCCTTCCCCGGTCTTTCTAAAATAATATAAGTTTTGGCTGGAGTTGGTTGGGCTTAATAATCACACAGAAAACTGCACTGACCTGATTGGGTATTTAAAGTAAACAGAAGTTAGTGATTATAATTATTTCCTTAAAATAATATATACATGCTGTCTATGTTAAAACATTATGCAGAGTTTGGATAATTACACTAATAGAATACAAAATTAGACAATACCTAAGACATGTCTGGAGGCCAAGAGATTAGGAGTTTTGGTCTGGAAGTAAAAGATTTAGCAGGTTTATCCGGAATGTCAGGATAAGTATTTTCTACGTTAACAGAGTCAGGGTAAGGTCGCTGGGGACATTTGTTACAGCGCATAAATCAGGATGAATACCAAGTGATCAAAATTCAGTCTGGTTCACATTATACTGTGGTATTGTATTGCCTGTGCTACCATATTCCTATTTATTTAAGAAGGTGTTACATTTCAAGCTATGTTGGCTTGTTTCACATATAAAGAGAGTCAACTGTAAAATTATAAATGATCTATTGTAAACAAGCATGCAAAACCAAATGAGAGTACCCCAACCCCCTCTTTAAAAAGAATATGCCTTAAAGCTACCGTCACTGTGTTCCAAGGTTGAAATGCAGTCCTCCCTGAAAATAAAGACATGAATGCTTCCCTGCCCACTGCCCATGCTGCTGAACACTTCTGGATTGAACTAAAATACCTCAAAGAAGTTCTGTATCTGGAAAATGCCAAGGTTTGTCTGATGCCTAGTTCCCCACTGTGCATTGTGGTCCCTTCCACCAGCCCTCTTGTCCTGTAGTAACAGAGGGAATGGTGGAGGAAACCACACAGCATCCTACATGCTTGGAGGTGTCAAATACAGAAGATCTCTGAGCAATCCTTGTTTTTTCAACCTGGAAGAGCTTGTTTATTTGGGCAGCAGGACAGTAAATTATTAATTGCCTTCGTTTTGGAAAGGACTGCATGTTTATCCTGTGATATAATCCTTATCCAAAATCGTCTAGATATGAAGAGGCATTGAGATTGAGGAACACTTTACACTCTGGCAGCTATTTATCCTTAAAGTGAGTCTATACTCAAATGTTAACAAAGTTATCTTAACAGTCTTGCTGGGCTGGGTATATAAAGAGTAAAGGGCTTTTTTGGAGAAAAATGTTCCAATTTCCAACGAGTATTGGCTACTTGGATCAAGACCTAAGGCATTTGGTTATGTGATCTCTACTAAAGATATCTGATCAGGGTTTAGCCCTACTGTTAGTCTTCATTTATCTATTCCAGAAAGACTGTTAACATTTGAGTACAGGCACACTGTAATTAGGGAATTCATTATTTTATTATTACCAATGAAACTGATAACATGAAAGTACATTATGGGCAAACTGTACCGATCATTGAGATGACAAGCAAGGAGTATCGATCTTGGCAACATGCAAAAAAATGAATTACTTGTCAGTTCCCTCAATTATTTGGCATCTAACCCAACAACTACCTTTGACAACAGATCATTTTTGCCACTAACAACATTTTGCCTGGTTAGGTTTGGTTTGATTTTACTATTTTGTACATAAATGTATATTGGATATTGTATATATTAAGCCTCTTCTTATGTTTTAGGATTGCTTTTCTATGAAGAACATATCATGGTATGGTGGAGCAACCCTCAGTGCTCAACGATGGCCGATGAACTATGGCAATGTGGCTTTACAGCCATTTGTGATTAGTAATCTCAAGTCCAGTCCTGGTGCCTATGGATCTGTTTTGGAAAGATACTTCCTGGGATCAACTGGTAAGAGGAATCAACTCTAGTTTAATCTAATATTATTACTCTGCTTGTTTAATAGTCATATTGTAATATTTGCACTTTATTATAAATTCTATGTGTTATCATTTGTTTCTTGGTTTTCCTTTGCCAGCACCACACTTTAGTCTTGCCCAGAGGTTTTCAATGGGGCTGTTTCTGGTCAGTCAACAACATTAATATGACGGGATTAAAACTAGTCCTCTATATCCTTGGCAGTTTGTCGGCAAGGAGCATTATTTTGCTGGAAATGAAATTCAAGGGCAGTGTGGCATTTTAGTAGTGAAAATATACATTACCATTTGGCAACAAGCCTGGGGCTAGCATTAGGCGTCTGCTGTCTATATTTTTTCCGGATTCTGCAGTCTATTTCTGTCAGCGTTCCCATACTGGTTTTAGTTCCACATGGATGTACAGAGGGCTCTTCTTTCAGGAGTGGGGTTACATATATAACCAAAGGAAATGCTTACCATGTGATGGAAAGAATTAACTAGTTGGGAATTCTCAAGGTCTTCATAGGGGATTCTCATAGGACCTCATTATTAATATTTGAATACATAGACTGCAATCATAAATACAGTTGTACATTAAAAAAAAACAAAGACAAAGGACAGAGTCCTTGAAGTAACCCTGTCACTCGCTAAAAGAATTACACCAGAGCCTACTTTAAAAAAAAAGTGGCTATTGGTGCTGCTGCTATCCAGCACTTTTGGGTGTGTCAGATAGCAAGTTACCCCTACCACACTACAGGAACACAGCTTGGAGTGACAGTGGCTTCTAGGGCTCTGCACTCACGGCTATTGCTTCTGCACAGAAAGCTGTGTGCTATAACAGCCAAGATGTGCACAGCTTCCAGCAAGATCTTCTTATAAAAGCATGTTTTACAAACACCAACACAACCCACTCAAAAAAATCCAGAACCCCAGAAACATGTCTAGAAGGCAAATTTTCAAGGCAGACAGAAACATTAAAAATAAAGGCCAATTTGAAGATCCTAGAAGCAAGATAAATGTATTGTAGGCAGGCGGATACAGGTTGACAAAGCCTGTTGAACATGTATTTTGATGAAATACTGAGTTCACTAATGAAGTCAGGTGTGCAGAACAGAAACCCGAGCTGCTGTACTGAGTAATGACCATCAGATGATGAGGGTTTAATGCTGCTTGTTACAATAGTGGTTGTAATTTTAGTGTTCCAATAGTAATATTATTCAACTGTGTTCTCCTAGAAGAAAATACTTTGGTACAATTTGGGAATGTCCTGAATATTTATGTTTAGAACGAGTCTCAGTAGGGGACCTGCATAGGTTATTGTGGATTTATGAAGCAATGGTATGTAACTATAAGTTTCAGACCCCATTCACACTAGCTACATTAAAGAACAAAAAAAAGAAAACGCTTTTTCAGCGCTAATTTGAGCTGACCGACATTGAGTTACATTGAGCTCGATGTCGCAGCTCTATGTAGTGCACGTTTTGTCGCACTAGGTAGCGCTTCTTTTGGCAGTCTATCAAAGCCTATTGGGGCCAAATCGTACAAAATCTGCTGGAAAAATAGGTCAGGTTCGAGCAACAAGCATGAGCTACAAGCTACAGGCTACATTGTGAGATGTGAACAGCATGTGAATTTTCAGTTCGAAGCTACAGTTTGTTTGTTTTACATGAAATACACCATTCTGTATTAATCTTTAATTGCTTACAGAATCATTCATGAAAATGATCACTTTAAAGCCAACCCGTGCTTTGCCCAAACCTATTGATCATCTGCTAGTATTACCTTTTTGGGGGGGCATTGTAATGTTTACAGAAGTGACATAGATTGCTCCTTTTACTGCTGCAAACATCTGAACAAGGTTTATAACTGTTAGGTCATTAAGTGAGGAGTAGCTGTACTTTCAAAGTGTCATTGTCTTGATTATTGTTACAGTGTGACAGTGTGTGGGGTTACATAGATAGGGGTTACATCTAATGTAGATCTAATACACATAGGATTGGTATTAGATTTACAAGAAGGATTATTTTGAGGGTTAGTTTATGTGTTAGGATTGCAGGAAATGTTAGTGCTGGGGTTTAGGTTATAGGAGGGTTATTTTTAAAGTTAAAAGAAGGTCTTATTGTTAGAATTACAGAGAAAGTTAGTGTGAGGCTAAGGATTACAGGAAGGGTTGGTGTTGGTGTTATAGGGAGAGTTATAGTTACAGGTAAGGTTAGTGTAAGGTTGGTAGTAGGGAAGGATGGTATAGGGTTTTATTGTTAGGATAACTGGAAAGGTTGTTGTTAGGCTTGAGGCAACTAGGAGGGTTAGTATTTGGCTAGGGGTTACAGGAGGGTTACTGTTGGTGTTATAGGAAGAGTTAGTGTGAGGGTTATAGGGAGGGTAATGTTAGTGTTACAGGAAGAGTAAGTGTTAGGGGAACTTATGGCATAGCTCCAGACACTGAGCTTCCATTAGTGAAGAGTATTGCAATGGGGCATATATATGGACTGGCATTCCCACCACAGTTCCAATTTTGCAGCCTTTTGTACAGATTGCTACACAAGGCTTTCACAGCATGACAAGAGATACACATTTAGGAAATATTGCCGTAGTGTGCCAAGCTCTGGAGCTCCACAACCATTGTCAGTTTATTACAATTTATCTTATCGCTTACATTTGTGTCTATTTTACCTTGTTAGGTGTATCAGTGGTGGTTAACCCACGTGTTCCAGTTTTCATGTCCATTGAGAAAAACAAGTCATTTTGTGTGAAGACACCAGCCAGCACAGAGAGGATCCCTCTACAATATACGATATGCATTGGGCAGAATATCCAATCTGTTCATCAGGATGTAGGAATCCAGCTTTATGAAAACCAAAGGACGCTTCCAAATATCAATATTTTTAGGTAACATTGTCAGTAGAAAGGTTTTCTGTTGAAAGGATGTATATTGTGATATGGATGGAGAGGAAGGATGAGAGCACCAAGCCATAGGGATTGGTTCATGAGTTTGTATTTTTGAACAATAAAAGTGTATATCAAAAGTTGAGAGCTAAGAATTTTTTGGGGTCATGCACAAATTCCCCTTCATCAGGGCTTAGGTTTATTGTACATAAGCAGTCTGGACAGTTGGTAAATCTTGGACTTTAGTTCTTTGTAGATAATAGTTGGAAGTTGTTATTGGTATCTCCAGTTGCTTTAGCCCCTGTGTTATGATTTAATAGGAATGTCATTACCAACTAGTGGAAGGTAGACATTTGTGTTACCATGTCATTATATTATAATGAGAAAGGATGAAAGAAAACAAATAGATATGCAAGTTGCTTTTTTTCCTGCTCAGGATGCCAGTTTGGAGACACTATGGTGTATCAGATTCTGCTGCAAAACTTGAAAGAGAAGTCAAATCGTTCCATAATAAATTAAAGAGACATGGCCTGGGAGAATGCCTCATTTCTCTCAATGAACATTCCACTATGTTACTTTCTAGCAAGGTAAGCCTTCACCTCATTTTTCCTACACAGATAACATCAGACTGTGCATCCTATACCACACACTATTTCCATACAATTGCAATGTGTACCTCCACTGTTAACTGCAGATATGTAATAACTTGAGTATGTAGCGACACAATGCAGTTGTTCGCCTCTTAGCAAATAGCAATTGGCTTTGCACCACCGGAGTTCTAAATTCACATTTTGCTAGGACATTATATTTATGGAATTTGTATGTTGTCCCCTGTTGGCCTGAATTTGCCCCTGACATTCTGGTTTCCTTTTACAATCTAGAAAATCTAGAAAAATAATGGAAAGTTAATTTGCTTTAAAGCAGACCTTTACATAGCAATATGAAATTTATAAAAAAAACTAAATTTACATATGCATTAGTATGCAATTATCCCAACAAACACATTTAAAACGCTTAAATCCCGGGCTTGGAATGTAGCGGGCAGACATATTTGAAGAGGGCAAATGCTCCTTTTCCCCCGATTTCTTTTTTTTTTTTAAGCCCGTGGAACGTGCGTCTAAACAAACTTCCCCCTGTGAACAAAAAAAGTGAACAGTGAAATCACAGCACACAAAAACGTGCACAAGGGTGCAAGGTCCTTCCGAAGAAGGGAACTAATTTCCCGACCCCCCGGGGCGCAAGGCTCCTGACAGTGGTTGAGACTGTTGGTACACCAAACCGAAGGCCGGTGGACCCATTTCCTTCGGGGACCTGCCGAAACAGGTCCCTCACAGTACTAGGCAAGTGGGCTCTCCCGAAGAGAGACCCACCTCCTGGGTGGGAGGAGACAGAGAACCCCGTAGGAGGCACAGAATCTCCTCCCAGCGTCAGGAGTAGGCCCAGAAGAAACCTGCACCTTTAGCATCTGTGGGTCAAAATTTAAAATAAAAAAAGTGCCAAACGTGGATAGGGTGCTTAAATAAATCTAAAGTGTCAGTGCACCACTCTGACAGGCCTAAGGGGCCGGGTGCATAAAAAATTGCCCCAGACTAGCCATAAGGTCTGTCTTGGAGGCTTCTGCCGCCCCCAACCCTCCAGCCAGACCAAGCTTCGCATCTGTTCAGTCAGAAAGCCATGTACTGAGCGGTTCCCCTCTCACAGGAAGCCACCCCACACGCTCTTTCACTTCAGTACTAAGTAACCATCCCCCGCAAGGACGGTTCTTTTCCCCACCGAAAACTGATAAGAACAGATCCTACACTTGATCTTAGCCAAAAGGCAGAGAAGCGATCTTTTCCCCTGATTTCTTATTGCATCATCGGGATTATTTCCTGCGCAGCTTCATCATGTTCCCCGGCCACACCCCCTTCTGATGATGCACAGTGACAGTGATTTCAGTGACGAGGCAGTCCCAGTGTGCATTGCTTTGGCACACTGACATCGTTTTTGTCCTTTCAAAGCAGGAAGTGAATGTTCTGCAAGTGTAAGTACATCAGCATTTTGCACCTGACATGATTTGGTTATTATTAATCATAATAAATAGAGGGATACATTGGTAGATGTTGATTTTTGAGTGTAAAGGTCCGCTTTAACCCAAAGTTATGGCAAGGGTGTTTATGTCTATATGAAAAGGTTGGGACCACTGAAGTTTTTTTGTGTATCTGCTCCCCTAAATGACAAGTTCATCCAAGTTCAATTTTGCATGGACCAAAGAGCAGTTAGAGAGCAATTAGGGTATAGAGTTGAACTATGGCTTTTCTTTTATTAGCATAGGCCAGAGGATGCTTCCTCAAAGGTTAGAAATTAAAGCCTTAGTCTTTTGCTCAGTACAGGTTTCCTTTCAAAAAGGGACAGGTAAGTATTGATAATTTTCTTTGCAGGGAGGACACATTTTTACCTTTTAAAATATCAATAGTAGCTGTAAACTGTATTTCCACTTTCACAGCCAAGTTGAGATAACACCTATTCATAGGGGCTGTGAGGGGTCTAAGGTGGCTTTCCTATTGTATGTTAATGATGTTTATCAGATAAACACTAGGGATGTCCCAATACCACTTTTTCAGGACCAAGTACAAGTACTTCCCCTCATGTATATGCCGATACCAATTACCGATACTTTTTTAAACGGGACAGGTGACTTTAAATGATCCATAGTACAACTACATATTATGTACTATGGATCATGATTTAACCTATTAATGTTAGCAGGATCGCTGCATCGCGTCTCGGGGCTCAGCTTGTGGGAAGGGCTCACAATTCTGCCCTGCTAACATGAATAGGTTAAATCATAATCCATGGTACATATACAGTACACACGTCCAGTACACTGCAGTCTGCAGCAATAGAATTACAATTCTCCCCTGCTAACATGAATAGGTTAAATGATCCATATTACAACTACATATTGTACTATTATGTACTATGGATCTTTTAACCTATTCATATTAGCAGGGGATAATTGTAAATCTATTGCTGCAGTGTACTGGACGTGTGTTACATACATGTACTATGTACTACATATAGAGTACACTGCAGCAATAGATTTACAATTATCCTCGGCTAACATGAATGGGTTAAATGATCTATAGTACATAACATGTACTTGTACTACGGATCATTTAACCTATTAATATTAGCAGAGGATAATTGTAAATCTATTGCTGCAGCGTATTGGGAATATGTACTGTATATATGTACTACATATACTGTAGAATACACTGCAGTAATAGTGTAACAATTCTCCCCTGCTAACATGAATGGGTTAAATAATCCATAATACAACTACATGTTATGTACTATGGATCATTTAATCCATTCATATTAGCAGGGGATAATTGTAAATCTATTGTCTGTAGTGTACTCTATATGTAGTACATATAGAGCACACATTGCAGACAATGGATTTACAATTTTTCTCTGCTAATATTAATAGATTCTTAATAGGCACCCCCCTTGCCCTCACTCACTGCTCGATGGTGGTGCCTCACCATGTGCCTCGTCGTAGTGGGCGCTGTGAGGGAGAGCAGCGGCGAGTCAGCGCTGGTGCGGTGGGAGGAGCTCCAGGTGGGGTCCAAATTTAGCTGGCCGGCGACTGCCCGGTCGCCTGCCAGCTAAATTAGGACCCCACTTGGAGTTCCTCCCGCCGGACCAGCACTGAGTCGCCGCTGCTCTCCCAAACAGCAGCCGGAAGGTAAGGGAAGAAAAAAAAATAGCACAAGCTTCGACTCTATGTATCGGGGCATTTTGACAAGTACATGTACTTGTTAAAATGCCCTGTATCGGCCCCGATACCGATGCTAGTACTGGTATTGGGACATCCCTAATAAACACAATCCTCAAATTTAAGACCGAAGCTTTTCTATAAGGACAGACCACTGTGAATGGGCTAAGAAAAACCTGGAATCAGCCATCTTGCCTGATTTAACAAAACATCTAAAAGGTAAGGCATTTTTTTTAAAGTTATTTTTCACTGTGTGAATAGGAACACATAAGGAACATATAGAGGGGTTTTCTTAAATGTGACAGCAAAAGTGGAAATACACTTTAAAGTGACCTTGCTGCTTCTCTAAGAAAATGCAGCCAGATGCTTCCTGCAATACAAGAAGCAGAACACTTAATTCTTCAGCAGGCTGCAAATGAAATCTTCACTTCGCTGCTATTCAGCATTTTCTGGTGTGTCCGAAAGCATGTCTGTTGTTTCTTCTGTAGTGATGTAGCGGCTGGCGAGAAGAACTATTGAACCCCTTGGTGCGTAGTGGGGGATATCTTATCTGACACATCGGAAGTGCCAACACACCCAGATGTGTCAGATAGCAGTGGCACCTGGAACTGATCAAAGCCACAGAACTTTAATTCCATATGCTCATCGGTAAGTATTCTGTTTCCTTTATTCCAGAAAGCAGCTGGCTGTAGTTTCTTTTAGAGAAGCGACAGGGTCCTTCGGAATGAGAGAATATTTAAATGTACAGATGTCTTTTGGATACTTTTTTTAATGCTTCTTTATTTATAGGACCACATACCTATTACAGACCAAGCAGGAGAGACTCACAGACATCACAAGGATCCATATACCCTTAAGCATCTCAATCTCTCAGTAACCACATCTCCATATGCAAGTTTTAACTCTGAGGAACTTCAAGATTATCTGCATAAGAGACAGGAAAACTACTGGCTCAGTCTCCCTTCAAAACTAGATGGATCAATGGTATAGTAGACATTAAAGTGGTGTACAGTATATACTACGATCATGCAGAAGAGACTTGTATCTAGGGGCATAGGACCTATTTAAAAATTGGCAAAATCAGTTTTCCATGATGGTATCAGCAGAGAATATTGATTTATTCAAAAATCAGTTAGATACTGTCCTAAGAGACCGTAACATACAGGGGTACAAGTACTCTTAAAAACTAGACCACCCAGGGACTCATATACACACATGCACGCACAACACACACACACAGACACACAAAGGTTGAACTTGATGGGCCTGTGTCTTTATTCAATCTCAAATACTTTGTAACTATGTAAATAAGTGAAATAATAGTGGTCTTGCCATAATGTGCAACTATGCAAAGCAAAGAAATAAGCCACTAGGAGCCAAAGAAAAAGATTTTAGATTTTAGATTAAAAAAAGTTTTTGCATATCTCTTCTGCCACAAATCTCCCAGAGATGTTTTATTGTTTCACCATACGGTGGTAAACATTACACGTTCAATACAAAGACCATTTCTCACACCACAAGGATCTTCCAGTTTGCACAACTACTGCACAAGGAATGGGGTTATTGCAATGACTGTCAAATTAGATTGACCTTCTTCACCAAGCAACCAGATTTCTATCTCTTGTTTGGTGGATTGCCTACTTCAATCATAGAACAGAACCTCTGTTGCTATAATAGGGTGTGAAGAATGGGGCCAATCTATGTAAGCACACCTTACCTACTAACACTCCCATGAACGTTATGTACACCTAGGCCTTTCCATAGAAAATAATGTGTCCCTTACCAGGTTAGTGTATGCAGCTAGGATGGCCATTATGTGTATTCCATATGAATTGCACTTTATATCAACAGTCTGTCAAGTTACAATTAAAGGAAGATTGTGCATGCTGTTTTAAGAATGAAAAACATTGTTTCCAGACTTAGATTGGAACATGTAGGTCCCCACCAGTAAATTAGATTATGATGGTTAAGTACAGTACAGTCATCTTTTCTATACTTGTGTCAAGGGCCCACATGGAGTCAATGCCACCAAAGTAATAATAGTAGACATTTGTGAGTTTTTACTGTATGTATAAGTTCTGATAAAATAAATAAATTTATTACCTAATCTATTTCCTACTTTCCTTCTCCTAGGTTCCAATTCTGACGAGATGGAAAGGCCAGTTTTCTGTGAGATTAAATATAACCAACAATGTTGCCGCTACATGGTACTTGAACAATGTAAAAAGCTTGATCAGCAAACTTGGTGCTAAATACATCATATTTGAAGGGGTAGAAGGCAACACATTTCTAGAACAATCCATACAACCTCCCAGAGGATTTGAGGGTGACCGGTATACTGAAATGTTAGTTGGAGAAGTGACAAAGTTGGGAAATTCTGCCATAGTTACAGCAAATACAAGGTAAAGTAGCCTCATTCTGCACATATACAGATACCTTCCTGTGGCAATTGTTTTCACTCTTTGTACTTTTTTTTCCATTTTTGCTATTTATATGTTATAAGCCATTTTCCCTAGTTTAACCTTACATACTGTATATTTAAGTAGCAATGCATGTAAAATGTATCGACATGACAGATAAAAGACCCGAGTAATTTATTTATTTCCTACTTTAGTGAAAACTGTCATGGACCCACAAAGGGTCCTGACTGACAGGACATATGGCTTTGCTGAAATATATTGAAGCATATGCACAAGGCTGTCAACCATTCAGATTTTTTTGCAGACAGTTCATAACTAGTGATGGGTTCAACCCATAAAGGGTTTATTGAATCGTGTTTGAAATTCGGAGAACACAAAACTTCACAACATTCCACTGAAGTCTATTAAGGGGGGAGGGGGGGCATTTTGCCTATTTTTGGGCCTAACAGACAAACTACTTTAAAAGAGATAGCATGGGAAGCTGTTTAAGGCCAGGGTTTGCATGCAAACAAAATACTAATGCAAACATGATAATCGGGGCCCATGTTTTAACATACCTGGAAGAACAGAGTATTTCACCCTAGTATTTCAGAAGCAGGTCACAGTGATTGGGTAGCAAAGTGAAGATGAGTATATGCGATGGGAAGGTCGAGCAAAAATATTTCATAAAAAATTATTGATTGAGTAATTAAAAAAAGGATTTTGCAGTAAATTACCTCAATGTTCTCTTTAAACAGGTCCAGCTATTTACCATTCTTTTCTCAAATGAGCCCTCTACAGTCAGACTGGAGCTACAATGGACTGAAAGGAATTGTCCCATCAGTGCTGCACTACAGTTTGCTAGGATACAATTTTTTCATTCCAGATGCAATAGGTAATTGTTTTCAGTTTATTCGATTATTAGCATGGCTACCATAAACACCAATTTAAATTCTTATATTCTCATATATTCCCAAATATTCCTATTTAGAATCTATAAATCAGCACAGGGCATGAAATATTGCATTGTAAACGTATATGAAACTCTGCCACACTCATTTTGGTGAAGCTGTTGTACTAAATCATGTATACGTGGTAAGTAATATGTAAATGAAACACATAGTTATTTATTATCTCTTTGCAAATGTACCATGCTTCACTGGTGCCTATGTAGCTCTTGTATCCTAAGGCATTATATATGCATGCAAAAAATAAAAAATAAAAAACAGAATTTACAGGATAGTGCAAATAAAACCACGTTTAATAAAATAAGAAAGTAAAACTGCACAATGAAGTGACTTGATTAGGGCATATCACCAAGATAACTCATCCACAGGATCTCCAGGTCACACCAACAGATGCTGAAACTCTTTCCCTCAAAAGCTGGCAATAGAAGAAGGAACAAATCAGGATGGACACTTGGAAAGCCATAGAAAAAAACAGGACCAAAATTGTATCCTTAGTGAAACTAAGCCAACATGTTTCAGGGCCATGTCCATTCTTTAAAGTCTCTGAAGGCTTTTAGACAGTTGTATATGCTTATTTTTGTATGGTTCTCCAATTGTCCACCTTAGTGAATCCACCCTGGTTTGTTCTCTCTCCTATTGCTGTGTTCTCAGGAAGAGAATTTCAGTGACTGTTGGTGTGACCTGGTCTTTTTGTAGCTGAGTTATCTTGGTGATATACCCTGAACAAGCTAATTCACTGTAAGCACAATTTTAATTTTCCTCTTTTCTTAAAAGTTGTTTTATTTGCACTATTCAGGGTGATCTGTTTGTGTTCTATTATCTCTCACAGAGATCACAGATCACAGTACTTACCCAACAATACATTAATGTGCCTTCTTTGGATGGAGTCATCTTTGTTTCTACATTATCAAAGGTCAGTATCAATTTCCTGGCTAGATAAGCTGGTTCAGAGATGACACATCACTGGAATCCCTGGTGCCTCCAAAGTAGTCTAATTTATGTAGACTAATAACATACAAAGCACAGCTCGCCCCTATCATGCATCCTTGTATTTCACATTCAGTGCTCGGATAACTCTCTTCCGGGAATAAATACCATAGAAATTGCAAAACTGGCACACAATTTTTTTTCTAAAAATAATCAACTTTTATTCCACATATATCTGTACGAAGAACCACTTCTGATGCGTTTCTGCCTTACTCAGCCTTAATGATAGCTGAATGTAATGGTTTACA